CTAAATACCAAAAAAATAACAAATAACGGAATCAATAAATGGGCCAAGGAACTGAACAGACACTTCTCAGAAGGTGATATACAATCAATCAACAAATATGTGAAAAAATATTTAACATCTCTAGCAATTAGAGAAATGCAAAATAAAACTACTCTATGACTTCAACTCACTCCAGTCAGAATGACTGCTAATAAGAATATAAACAACAATAAGTGTTGGCAAGAATGTCGGGGAAAAGGCACGTTCATATATTGTTGGTGAGACTGCAAAATGGTGCAGCCAATATGGAAAGCAATATGGAGACTCCTTGGAAAACTGGGAATGGAACCACCTTTTTTTAAGTATTTATTTTTTAGTTGTAGTTGGACACAATACCTTTATTTCACTTATTTATTTTTATATGTTGCTGAGGATCAAGGCAAGTGCTCTACCGATAAGCCATAACCCCAGCCCTGGAACCACCTTTTGATCCAGCTATCCCACTCCTTGGTCTATACCCAAAGGACTTAAAAACAGCATACTACAGGAACACAGCCACATCAATGTGTATAGCAGCACAGTTCACTATAGCTAAACTGTGGAACCAACCTAGATTCCCTTCAGTACATGAATGGATAAAGTACATATGTGTATGTACATACACACAATGGAACATTACTCAGCAATAAAAGAGAATAAAATCATGGCATTTGCAGGTAAATGGATGGAATTGGAGAAAATAATGCTAAGTGAAGTTATCCAATCCCCCCCAAAAAAAAAAACAAATGCCAAATGTTTTCTCTGATATAAGGAGGCTGATTCATAGTTGGGTTAGAAGAGAGAGCATGGGAGGATTAGACAAACTCTAGATTGAGCAAAGGGGTGGGAGGGGAAGGGAGGGAGCATGGGGGTAGAAAAGACAATGGAATGAGATGAAAGTACATGTGTGAAGACACAAATGGTGTGAATATATTTTGTATAAAACCATAGATATGAAACCATAGATATGAAAAATTTTGCTCTATATGTGCAATATGAATTGTAATGCATTCTGCTGTCATATATAAAAAATTAGAATAAAAAATTTAAAAAAAGAAAAATTGGAATTCTTCCCCAAAATATTAAATATTAGTGTTAAATGCAATTTCACTAAAAATATCCACCAACGTTTTTTTCTTTTTCTTTCTTCTTTCTTTCTCTCTCTTTTTTTTTTTTTTTTTTGCAATGGAGATTGAACCCAAGGGCAGTTAACCACTGAGCCACATCCCCAAGCCCTTTTTTAATATCTTATTTAGAGATGGGGTCTCACTAAGTTACTTAGGACCTTGCTAAGTTCCTGAGGCTGGCTTTGAACTCACAATCCTCCTGCCTCAGCCTTCTGAGCCCCTGGGATTACAGGTGTGCACCATTTTACCCAGCTCCACTGAACTTTTTGAAGAGATGATAAACTGATTCTAAATATATATGGAAGAACAAAAAACCAAGGACAATCAAGAATATTTTGAATAATGTCAAGAATATTTTGAATAATGTGAGACTTTTTTCCAGTTATCAAGACTTACTATGAAGGTACTGGGATTAAGATATTGCTACTGAGATACATTTTGAATCAAAATGAAGATCAGCAAAAAGACTCCCACATCTATAAAAACACAATGCAAAACAGCTGGGATCAAAAAAAAGGAAGAATGTTTAATAAATGGGTGGAGATTTTTAGCACAGTTGCTTTATTATTAAAAATTAAAACAATATTTAAAAATTTTTTAAAAATTAAAATTGAAAAAAGAAAACCACTTTCACATACTTGTCTAAATTTATTCTTATACATTTCAAAAAATAATTTGTGATAAATGTTATTAAAAATACAAAATGAGATATATTTTCAGCAAATAATGCTGAGACAATTGGCTATTCATAAAAAGAAGTGACAGACATCATTACTTCAAAGCATAAATAAAAATGAACTTTTAAAGATATATAGACCTAAATGTAATAGTTAAAACTATAAAACTTAAAGAAAATGGCAAAGAGTAAATAATATTTTAGATAGGACACAAAAGCATAAATCATAAAAGAAGTTATTGATGAATTGTACTCCATCAAATTATATATCTTCTGCTCTTTTTAAAAATATATATATATATTTATTTTTTAGTTGTAGTTGGACACAATACTTTTATTTATTTATTTTTATGTGGTGCTGAGGATCCAACCCAGGGCCTCACACATTCTAGGCAAGAGCTCTACTGCTGAGCTCTACCCAGCCCCTGAAGACATTCCTTTTAAAAAAATTTATTTTTTAGTTGTAGTTTGACACAATACCTTTATTTCTCTTATTTATTTTTATGTAGTGCTAGGCAAGTGTTCTACCGCTGAGCCACAACCCCAGCCCCCCCAGCCCTGAAGAAAAAAAAGGAATTAAAAAAAAAAAGTCACACAGACTGGGAATAAATAATTGCAAAACTTATCTACCATAATGAACTTTAATTTAAAAAAAAACTTAAAAATAGGAATATAAACAACCCGATAAAAAAACAGGCATATAATTTGAGCAGACACATTAACAAAGAAGATATATGAATGGCCAATCAACACATGAGAAGAAGCCAACATTATCTATGAAGAAAATAGAAGGGAAAACAAAATGTGGGTACCACTGCAGTGGCCAAAATACAAAAAGACTAATAACGACAAGGGGTGTGGGATACCTGGAAGGGAGATTTAAAACAGCACAGCCACATCACAAGGTGGTTTGGCCTAAAGTAACCACGTAAGCAAAAAATCCCATTCCTAAGTATTCTCCAGTAGAAAGGAAAACATGTCCACATAAGAACCTGCATGCAAATGTGCATAGCACCTGTAGTCAAGTAGTTAAAAACTGGAAATACACAAAATGTCCATCAATTATTGAACTTCAAACTGATAACCAATGTTTGATACTCCTTATGGAATTCCATTCAAAATAAAAAGGAGCAAACTTAAGATACAGCAATAAGAGCCAGACTGTAATCCCAGCAGCTTAGGAGGCTAAGGCAGGAGGATCACATGTTCATATTCTGAATATTAATCCCTTACTGAACAAATAGTTTGCAAATACTTTCTCTACTGTTTGTTTCCTCACTCTGTTAATGATTTTCTTGGCTGAAGAGAAGCTTTTAGTTTGATATAATTCCACTATCAAAACTTCTTTTGTGAAAGGTTCATACAGTTTAGAAATCAGTCCAGTTTTTTTATACACATAATTCACCTAAAAATAGGTACATAAATACATAAATGCACATATATGCAATATAATATATCATATATGTATATGATTTTTATATGTTCATTTTTATCCTGCAACTTTTCTGAATTTATTTGTCAGTTCTAATTGGAGCTTTTTAGATTTTTCTATATATAAAATCATATCTACACACAGAGGATAATTTGACCTCTTCTTTTCTTATTATTTGGATGCCTTTCTCTTGCTGACTTGCTCTCAGCTATGTTGACTAAGAATAGCAAAAGCAGGCATCTTGATCTTATGGGACATGATTTCAGGTCTTCCTCATTCAATATGATGTTGGTTGTGGGTCTGTCATATTTAGCCTCTATTATGCTGACATACATTCATTCTTTATCTAATTTGTTAAGAGCTTTTGATTATAAGAGGATGTTGAATTTTATCAAAGGCTTTTCTGTACCTATTGAGAAAATCATATGGGTTTTTTTGTCCTTCATTTTGTTGATATGATGTATTACATTTATTGATTATATATTGAACCATCCATACATTCCTGGAATACACCCCACTTGACCAGAAAAGTTAGCCAATGGCTACAGACATTTTTTCATATTCTGCAAGAAGGGAAAAATTCATCTGCTGAGTAGAGGAGAGACAAATACTTTATGACCAAATAAACCTCATCTAAGATTCTGCATTTGTTCAAATGTAATAATTGACACCAAAACAAAACATATTGGCATTCCAAAGCAAACGAACACAAAAAAGTACAGGTAATGAAGTAAAGGCAATCAAATATAGCCACAGCAGGGAACATTAACTACCTTATTTTGTGAAGCCATCACTATCCTAATGCCAAAAATTTGAAAAAGAAAATTTGAGAAAAAAAAATATTGGAGACTAATGTCTCTGATAAATATAAACACAAATACCCTGAGCAAAATGTAGCAATTCAAACTGAGCTGTGAGTGTATGTATTTTTAAAATACATACAAACAAAAATACCTGCAAAGTTATTCTATATGTACAGGCAGGCCAAATATATGACAATATTGACAGATATAGAGAATATATTTGATCAAATTGTACATGCATTTTGATTAAAAAGAGGGCATAAAAGTAAAAGAATAGGGCAAATAAAACAAATATTAATCAGATCACAGAATCCTATACACTAAAATTATAAATCAATCTACAAATTGTTAGCAATGATAAGTGAATCTAGCAAGGTTTCTAGATGTAAAGCTCTCACATGTAAATTATATCTCCATATGCCAGAAACAAAGAAATAAAGAAGGTATTTTTAAAAGTATACAAGTCATATTAACATCAAAAATATCATTTATTTTGGGACAAAGGAAGATAGGAAAGCCACTACATTGAAAACAAAACAATATTGAGAAAACTAAAGAAAGCTTAAATGAATTAGGAGCATAATTATATCCATGAACTGAAAGGTTCAACACATCAAAACATGCTTTCCAAACGTATTGATAGATTTAATGTCACTAATAAATAAGCAAACATGTTTTGGGAAATCGACAAATTCATACTTTTGATACATATTTTGAAATGTGAACACCTAAGTGCAGCCAAAAAATTAATAGAAAAAGTTTTAAGTCACAAATCAAGACTTGTTATATAACTTTAGAAACCCAAACTGATAACAGAAGTTTAATTAGCTGCCACACATATGAGTTTTGCACTTACCTCATCTAGTGTTGATAAAGGATCAGAAACATACTCTAAAATTGGGAACTTTAAGAGCATTGAAGCACAGTGTAAGAGACAAGCTCACCTTGGGAATGAAGTAGTTTCTAAATTTTACATCACAGGTCACTGCATGGGGCACACTGGTGGGGATGAGATCAATGTATCTCTGGATCTCGTGTAACACAGCCTCTGTGTAAGGCATGCACCTCCTGTCCTGCATGCAAGGGCTACGGTGTCTGCCAATCACTTGGTCAATCTCTTCTTGGACTTTAGCTGATAAGACAAAATTAAGAACTGAAGGAAAGGAGAAAATGGCATATTTGTCATAACATTTCAGGACTACAGGAAACATAATGGTGTGCCAACAGTATTATAAAGCCATAATTATATCTAGATTTGCTTTTACAGGTACACACAACTCTCTTCCAAAGTAGGCATTAAGACAAATCTGTAAACACATTCACAATAGCATATAAGATAACAATAAAAATAGAAATGAAAAAAATAACTTGAATTATATAAATAATTAGCATGTGAACTGAAAAAATTACTGTCCTTGCAGGAAAAAAAAACACAAAATAAGAATTAATTTCGTGGTCTAGGGCTGTAGCTCAGTGGCAGAGTGCTTGCCTAGCATGGGTGAGGTACTAGGTTCAAATCTTAGCACCATATAAAAAATTTTTAAATGAATGAATAAATAAAAAAGTAAAATAATAAAAAAGAATTAATTTCATATCAAACTAATACAATAAATACAAACATTCTGAGCAAAATGCATCAAATCAAACTGACTCCCTTCCCACCTATAGTATCACCTTGTCCATCCTGAAGTGGCTACTCCCTCGATCTGGGGCCCAGCACACTCCCATCTTTGTATATGAGTTATCCTGATTCCTGGAGCCTATTACTTTAGTTCGCTTGATTTCAGATATTTGGATAAAGAATAACCTCTACTATCTTTGTGAGAAATAAAAACATAGAAAGACATAAAAAGGGACATCAAGAATTTTAAATGTGAGGATAAATGGAGAGCACATGTAGAGCTTTTTTACTAGCATATTTTTCTGATTTTTTATTAATTAATTTATTAATTTGTTCTAATTTGTTCTACATGACAGCAGAATGCATTTCAGTTCATAGTACTCAAAACTTTCAAAATTATATAAATAAATGGAAATTAAATAACTTACTGTTGAACAATCAATGGGTCAAGGGTAAAATCAAAGGGAAATAAAATTTCTTTAAACAAATTAAATGTTTATAACAACCAATACCTATATTAATCAATCAGAAAGAAATAGGAGGGATGCTGGATACAAGGTGCACACCTATAATCCCAGCAACTCTAGAGAATGAGGCAGGAGGATCACAAGTTCAAAGCCAGCTTCAGTAACTTAACAAGACTCTGTCTCAAAAATAAAATAAAGTAGGGATGTTGCTCTGTGGTAAAGTGCCTCTGGGTTCAAATCCCACTACCAAAATAATAATAATAATAATAAACGGATATCAGTAGAATAGAACAAGCAGATCAGGAAAAGAGGGGGGAAAGAAAAAGAAAGACACTGGGGAATAATATTAATCAAATTACATTGTGTGCACACACATATGGCATGAAGAATCCCACTATTATGTGTATAATTATCATGAACCAATAAATTCTTTTTAAATCAGAAAAAACTCAAAATAAACAGCCTACTATTGCATCTCAAGGAACTAGAAAAATAAGAACAAACAAAATCCAAAATTAGAAAAACAAAGAATAAAGATCAGAGCAGAAATAAACAGAGACTTAAAAGATTAAAAGGATCAATGAAACAAAAATCTAATTCTTCAAAAAGAAAAAGTTGAAAAACTCTGAGATAGTCTAACAAAAAGAGAACAAAGACACAAATAAATAAAAACAAAGATGAAAAGAGAGACATCACAACTGACATCACAGAAATATAAAAAAAATCATTAGACATTATTATGAATAACTATCCTCAACAAATTTGACAAACTAATAAAAAAACAATTGGACAAATTTCTGGACATATACATCTTACCAACATTGAATCTTGAAGAAATAGAAAGCCTAAGTAAACCTATAAAAAGTAACCAGACTGAATCCACAATTAAAAAGTCCCCCATTAAAGAGAAACTCAGAAACAGATGATTTCACTGCTAGTTCTACCAAACACTTAAAGATGTTTGATAATTCTTAATTTGTTCCCAAACATTGAAGAGGAGAGAATTTCTCCAAGAATCTTTTACAAGGATAGCATTACCCTAATACCAAAATCTGACAAGGGTACATTAAAAAAAAAACTACAAGTAATATTCTTGATGAACAAAGATCTGAAAATCCTCAACAGCATACTAGCAAACAGAATCCAAAAGCATGTTTAAAAGATTATTCACCATGATCAAGTGGGATTCAGAGAAGCAAATATGATTCAGTATTTGCAAATCAATGATATGAAACAAAATATCAGCACAACAAAGAATTAAAACCATATGATCATCTCAATTATACTTCATGACAATGAATGAGGAAAAGCTGAATGTTTCTAAGATCTGGCACAAGACAAGAATACCTACCTGTCACTTTTCAACATCCTACTAAAAGTCCTAGCCAGATCATTCAAGCAAGAGAAAGAAAGAAATGTCCTCCAAGTTGGAAAAGGGAATTCTAATTTTCTAATTATCACTGTTTGCAGATAACATGATCTCACACACAGAAAACCCAAAGATTCCACACACAAAAAAGCAAAAGTTAGAAAAAAATGAATTAAACAAGGTTGTAGGATACAAAACACAAAAATTAGTAGCACTGCTATATGCCAATAGTAAATTATCCGAAATAAAAAGCAAGACAGAAATTCCACTTACAATAGCTTCAAAAAATTAAACAAAATATCTAGGAATAAATTTAACGGAAAAGGTAAAAGATCTATACAATGAAAACTATAAGACATTGATGAAAAGAATTGAAAAGGACACAAAAAAATGGAAAGACATTCTGTGTTCATGGATTAGAAGAATCAAAAATTTTTAAATGTCATAGTACCCAAAGCAATCTACAAGTTTAGTGCAGTCCCTATGAAAACACCAGTGGTGATCTTTTTAGAAAAAACAAGCCTAAAATTTGAATGGATACACACACACACACACACACTCAAATACCCTGAATAGCCAAAATCATCTTTTTGGGGAGGGAGAGGGTACTGGAGATTAAACTCAGGGGCACTCAACCACCAAGCCACATCCTCAGCCCCATTTTGTGTTTTATTTAGAGACAGGGTTTCACTGAGTTGCTTCAAGCCTCACTTTTGCAGAAGCTGGTGTTGAACTCACAATCCCTGCCTCAGCCTCCTCCTTGTTGCTGAAGCTGGCTTTGAACTCACAATCCTTCTTATCAGCCTCCCAAACTTCTGGGATTACAGGCATGCACCACCACACCCAGCACCTTGTGCCAAAGTCATCTTAAGCAAAAACAGGAAGCATTACACTGCCCGAATTCAAAATATGCTACATGACTGAAGGAACCAAACAGTGTGGTATTGGCATAAAAACAGACACAGAGACCAATAGAATGGAATAAACATCTTAGAAGTAAACTCATTCCTCTGCAGTCAACTAATTTTTCACAAAAGTAATAAAAACAATCATTGGAAAAAAGGCAGTCTTCTCAATAAATAAAAATTGGGTATCCACATGCCACAGACTGAAACTAGACCTGTGTCTCTCATTATTTACAAAATTCAACTCAATATGGATTAAAGACTTAAATATAAGACCTGAAACTATGAAATTACTAGAAGAAAACACAAGGAAAATGTTTTAGAACATCAGAATTAGCAAGGATTTTTAGGAGAAGACCACAAAGGAACAGAAAACAAAAGCAAAAATAGACAAATGAGATGATATCAAAATAAAAATTCTACACAGCAAAGAAAATAATCATCAGAGTAAAAGAAAACTGGAGAGTAAATTTTTTCATCAACTTGTAAATACGAAGCTATCCTTTGCCTATGAGTACACAAGCTGACAGCTACTTGTGAGAATTTTAATACCATTCTGATTCTTAATCTTTATATATTACTTGATTTGTCTCTGAAAGTATTGGTAATTTCTCCCTTAAGTGTAGTGTTCTGAAATTCCATGAGTGGATATTTTCATTATATTCCCTTTTCTGGACATTCAATGAGCATTTTCTTTATAGATGGCAAAAGAGAGAGAGAGAGAGAGAGAGAGAGAGAGAGAGAGAGAGAGGTCTTTCCTCTGGCACTACTTTTTCTCTAGAGTTTATATCTGGCTGCTGAATTTCAGAAGCATAATGGAGACGGAGCTAAGGTCCTTGGAATTTGCTTCTGTTCACCCCTTCTCTCTGTCACTCCTATTTTGAAAAACTATCTTATTTTTATGCCTTCATTATATTTGCACAAATTATACCTAGTGACACAGAAATTTCAATACTGGAGCTTCTCAGAGACCCAAGATAGAGGACACTATCAGTGTCTTCACATCTTTCTGAAATTCACCCTGCTCACTGTATGTGGTCATACCTGTGATATTTGTATGCTTTAGCAGGAGCAAAAGTCCATATCTCATAGTGGTGCTTGTTGTCTCTGTTCCCGCTCCAAACAAATCAGTTACAGTGGTTAACAAGTTTTCAATGGTAAATTCAGACTGTTGATTGTTCTTTTCCTAGGAAATTACATGATTATTTTATTATTTGACAACTTTCCAGCATATTTATTATAATGAATCCAAATAACTCAGGTTGTTCTAAAAAGAAAACTTCAACAATACAGAATTTAGTATTAAAATTGTAATAATCACATAGTATAGCAGTGACTGTAGCACCCCAAAGGAGGAGGAGGAGAAGGTAGCTCATGTACAAAATGTAGTAATGAAAAATGACAAGCACCTGTGTCCATAATGCTTTAGGGCTAGTGCACTAGTTCTAAAGTAATCAACATGAGACTCCTTATATGTGAAATAAATACACTATTTTGTGAAGCCCTTGTTAAACTGGGTTTTCTCCTGTTGGTATACACACACAATTTTAATTAATAGAAATGTTTATGTTAGAGCCAAATCTTGAAAAAATGTTATAAGCCAGGGGGGAAAAAGTTTGCAATTCTGAAATTTGGCAAAATAAAAGGCTCCTGACTCTCCCTTTACACATGCATGCACTAAGTAAACATCTATTTCTATATCAACTACCTGTGAGATAAACTCAGAATCAAGTGGAGTGATTCCTGCACACTAAGCAACTGAGAAAACGTCTACATCTAACAAGTAGGAAAAACTCTTGTATGCTTATGATCCCACTCCAAACACTGTACCATAGATTCTGGGATGAAATTCCCAACACCCAGAGGAGAGGCAGGTTTGGACCACCATCATAACACCCTAATTCAAAGGTTCCTCCCAGTTTTCTCGAAATTTACTCTCAGAGTGGAGGAATTAGGCATATAGGAGTCTCTCTAAACCACAGGTGGGTGGGGAAGTGGTTTCATATAGGAGCACAAGCACTTCCAGGGGATTTATACCCAATAATTGAGGCAGATAAGGGCATAAAAGTCAAAGTTCCTATCTGGAAGGGATGTGTTAGCATACCCTGCCAAATGCTGCCACTCACAAATGAGCTTCTAATTAACCTGCATCAGAGAGCTAACCAACCCAACAAGGAGTATATTTCTGACAGCCTGAGAAGAGCTTGGTACTTCCTTAGTGTTCCTCATGATGCCCCCTCTCCCCATAATAAAAAACAAGTCGACCCATTTGCACTGGAAGGGGCTTGTCTATGCACTGAGCACCACAATTTCTATAGCTTTCACCTAAGGGACCACTTTCTTAATCAACACAAACAACTCTGGTTGTGTCCTTAAATCACAGAAAACAAAGAGAAGAATAAACAGTAAGCCCACTTCCAGCAGCTCTCTGCCCAGGATCAGAGAGAATGATTGGAATTTGAGTGCAGGCATTTGTGGATCCTCCCCCTAGATTAGTAGAGAGAGAGTTAAAGATAAACACCTGATCCCAATTTCACGGTGAGGAGAATGCATTAATAAATAAGACCGAAGGGGCTGGGATTGTAGCTCAGTGGTTGAGCACTAGCTTCAATCCTCAGCACCACATTTTTTTTAAATAAATGAATAAATAAATAAATAAAACGAAGATATTAAAAAAAAACTAACAACATTTCTGAAAAAACAAAAAAAAAAAAACCTAACTACATGATACATATATAAGACTCACTTCACCTTCAAGAACACTACAATTGAAAGTGAAGGGATAGAAAAAAAACATTCCATGAAAATGAAAACCAAAAGATAGCAGGGATAGCTACATCTACATCAGACAAAACACTGGGTCAAACACTAAAAAGAGACAAAGAAGGTCATTATGAAATGATAAAGTGACTAATTCATCAAGAAGATATGACAATTATAAATATATATACACCCAACATTGGAGCATGTAAACATTTAAAGCAAACATTAAGAGATCTGAGGGAATGCATAGATTATAACACAAAGATAGGAGTGATTCTGGTACTCCACTTTTAAAAACAGACAGATAATACAGACAAAAATTCAGTATAAAAATATTAGACTACATTTTAGACCAGATGCACTTAATAGACATAAAAAGCATTCTATCCAACAGTGGTATGCTCATCCTTCTCAAGTGCACATGGAACATTCTCCCAGGTGGATCATGGATTAGGCCACAAAACTAGTCTTAACAAATTTAAAAAGACTGAAACTTTATCAAATTATCTCTTCAGACCACAAAGGTATGAATCAAAAAATCAATAAATGAAAGGAATCAAGGCTAGAAATCACAAATGCATGGAAATTAGACAAGATATTCCAGAATATTATTGGGGTAAAGAAAAGATTATTAGCAAAACTAAAACACATCCTGCAATAACTGATAATGGAAACAATACATCATGACTTATGGAACACACCAAAAGCAGTTCTAAGGGGAAGTTGGGGGAGCAGGAGAAAATTGATAATAACATGAAGCAATCTGAAATACTGATCTCAGGAAGTGCCTTAACAAACACCACCCAATTTAACATTCCTACCCAGTGCTCCAGATCAGCATTAATTTAATAAGGTTCCTATAATTCTGAATTCCATGACTTTGGTTTAGGTAATTGTTTCTTAGTTATGATACAAAAAAAATCACAAGCAATCAAAATGTAATTTCACACATAAAGAAAACTTTTCTATTTCAAAAGACATTTTAAAGAAATTGAAAATGTGATACACAAAATGGGAGAAAATATCTTCAATCCTTATATCAGCATAAGGAACTTGCATCTAGTATATATAGGCCCAAGGCAACTTAAGAAGACCATGTCTCAAATTCAAAAATAAAATAAAAAGGGTTAGGGATGTAGCTCAGTGACAAAGCACCAGGGTTCAATTCCTGGTATCAAACACCAACACACACATACACACACACACACACACACACACACACACACACACACAGAGTGAAAGAATACTTCACACCCTCTGGGATGGCTGAAATAAAAAAGACAGAGGGCTGGGGATGTGGCTCAAGCGGTAGCACGCTCGCCTGGCATGCATGTGGCCTCTCTCTCTCTCTCTCTCTCTCTCTCCTCTCTCACTGTATCTTAAAAAAAAAAAAAGATAGACACCTTGGTGAGAAGGCAATAAAACTGGAGCACTCAAACACTGCAGAGAGATTTTTAAATGGTGGAGCCAATTTCATGCCTATGTCTTTTTCTAGGTTTTCATATTTTTAGCTCTTACATTTAGGACCCTGCACCTCAAATGCTAAACATAGAGATGCAATATCAGGAGCAATTCCACTGTGATGTGGAATCCCTAGAAAAATGAAAACATGTATAACCAATACCTTATACACAAAGATTCCTAGTATTATTTATAATAGACAAAGAATTGAAACAATTCAAAAGTCTATCAACCAATGAATGAAAACATTAAATGTAATATATCAAGAAACTGAAATATTTTTCTACCATATAAAGGGATGAGGTACTGATACATGCTACATCAGTGAACCTTGAAAGGTTTATGACAAGTGAACAAAGCCAGTCACAAAAGACCATACACTGTGTAGTTCCATTCATATGAAACGTACAGAGGAACAAACCTATAAAGACAGAAAGTAAGAGTATTAAATTATACTTAAAATCTATACAGAGATAGTATGTAAATGATAGCTAATAAAAATATTAACAAAAAATAAAATAACATATTTTTAATACTATACTGCACTCCAAGGAGCAACATAGTTTTAAATACAGTTTTGAGGCAACAGCCTTTGCTGACTGAAGTACAACAGATCTTGGAGTTCACTGTAACCTGAGCTTAATGGTGAGTCTTAATAGCATTAAGAAAATCCCTCTCTCAATGTGTATCAAATATAAAGAACTCATGTAGGTCCATGCTTTTGGTAAGGTGTCCATACTTTTAATGAGATTTTCAAATTAATAAGACCCTGCATGATAATTGTGCCATAGAAACAGACAAGACAGAGAGTCAAAGTGATTTGCTTCTTCTCTTCACCATTTTCTTGGAACTATTCCCTCTTCTTCACTTCATCTACAACAGGCCAAACTCAAATTCAAACACAATTCCCTAGACAATTTTATAAAAGTCACCCTTTGATTCCTTGCCACCTTAGCCCACAGCCCACTGACTTACTTTTTTCAAAGTGTTACAAAGTGGTGGAGTCAAATATAGTGGATACAAAGGATAGATTTATTCTCTAGAGTTGGTTCTTTTTAGATTCTTCTACATTTGTCCTCTTCCAGTAAATAGAACTTTGTACCTATACAAGTGTGCTTGTGTACTTCTCAGTTTCCAAATTGACCCTACCACCATTCATGTTCACTATTCCAGTCTTTCCCTACTTGGTTAAACTTATCAAATGGCATAACTGTCTTGATACTGAAATTTCCCACACAGTTCCTATTATTTGGCTCCCATCTACTCCACTAAAATAAAAATCTATTAATCTCTGAGAATATTATAAAATGGATACCTTGAATTTCAGAATCTGTATTTCTATAATCCAGACATTTATTAATCCAAAATGCAAAGAGATGAAAAATCCCATAGCTAGTCTATAAATTCAACTGTCACCATACAGACCATTCTACAGAACTCTCAGGATAATTTTTCTTGCATAACATTGTTATTCTGGCCCACACATACCTGACCAAATCAAAACTCTCCATGCCAACAATCAGGTTTACAGAATATTTAACAAGTATCTTCAGATTCAATTCCAGTAGCACTCAATTAAGGCTTCTCTCCTCTATCTCTGCCACTACACACATTTGAATTTCTCACTATACCACTATCCATCTAAAATTCCGTCCCATGTTTCTCACTGCAAATACTTGAAGATTTATTTTAAACCTCAGGAAATGTAGGAAGTGCACTATTACAGTTTGAATACATGGTCTTGAAGATCTATATTAAACCTCGGGAAATGTAGAAAGTCCAACATTACAGTTTGGATATGTGGTATCCCCAAAAAGATCACATGGGAGAAAATGCAAGGACATTCAGAGGTGAAATGAATAGGTGATGGGAAGTGTAACTTAATCAAAGACTTAATCCACTAATGTGGATTAACTAAGTGGTAACTGTAGGTAGGGTAGGATGTGGCTAAAGGAGGCAGGTCACTGGGGATGAGTCTTTGGGATTTATATTTTGTCCCTAGTGAATGGAGTTCCGTCTCTGCTTTCTGGTGGCTCTATCCTCAGCTGCTTTTCCCTCCACACTCTTCCCATGATGTTCTGCCTCACCCTAGACCCAGAGAAATGGAGTCAGCCATCTATGGACTGAGACTTCTAAAACCCTGAGTCCCAAATAAACTTTTTCTCCTTTGAAATTGTTCTTGTCAGTTCTTTTGGTCACAGTGATGAAAAAGTTGACTAAAAAATACCCCACCTAGGTTAAACCCTTCTTTTTTTATTCTCCCATATGATGTGTGATGTATCTGTGTCAACTTTTATATTATGGCTTGATATTTTATATTTTCTATAGGTTTGAATTTGCATCTTACCTGAGATATACATTCTGTCTTTACTCAAAGAGATTATTAGTGCTTAAAAACAGTGCCCATGTACTCTAAATGTTAATTTCGTTTTAAATCTTCCACGATGCTTAGTTCAGATCCATGTATGTATACAATAGGCACTTAAGTGCTTATCAAGTATTTCTTGCCTGACCAGTTACATCCCAATAAGTAAAGATATTATTAATGAACCACAAATGGAAGCAAATAACATTCTACCTCTTTCATTTTGATCAGGAAGCAATCAATGAAGTCCCGAGGATTGTTGACATCCAAAGATTCTTGGTGCTCTTTTATTTTCTCCAAAACATAACTTTTTACATAATCAAAATTTTTTATAATTGTGTTATGACTCCCTGGGAGATAATCCATGAGAGCAGGGAAAATACTGCAGACCTTAAAAATTAAATGATATTTATTAAATTAAAACCATGTAATGAAGGCATAGGCAAATATAATAATCCAAATTAAGCCCTGGTTAAAACTGGAATGAACAAAAAACGGTCTCCAACTTGAGCAGCATATGATTTCATGTATGAAGGAATCCTTCACACTGACAGGAAGATGGGAATAAACTGACCACATCATCAAACATGAGAAGAATGTCCCATCCTGATACATTTTTTACAGTATTAGGGCATCTTTATGTCACTTCTCTCACTTGCAACCTTGAAATATAGAATGCCATGAATTGCTCTGATTCACATGTAACACATGAGCACAGAGGTTAAGGGCATTTGGACAACCTAATACAGAGCACACAGCCACTCCCTGCTATTTCTTCCACCAGCAATAAGCCTCAGGAACAGAATTACGATTTTGTAACTGGGAGGGGTGCAAAGATACCATGAAGTCCAGCACTGCATTTTATACACAAGCACTTGTACACAAGAATGGTTAAATGACTCCTATAAAATCATGCTATTATCTTTTAGGCAGAGTTTAGGGCACAGCAGCTCAACACAGGGTAATAGTGTGATGTTTGCTTATGGTTCATTCACACCAAAAACCAATCATTCTGGGATCTTAACCCTGGTCACTTTCTCAACTAGGATTCCAGCTGAAGCCTCAAACACACTCACTACTCAGAGGATCCTGGCAGCAGCTGTGTCCCAAACATTCTCCATCCTTGATATTCTAAATTACAATATTGCTGCCAAGTAATGTCATGAAGAGCTCTTTAGTGTTGACTGGCAGACCAGCCTGTGGGTCATGGAAACTTTTCAACAAGAGCCCTGGACGTCCACTGTGTGCCTGGGCATGCTTTGGGGCAGTCACCAAAGTGCTGCCTACAAACAGAGATTTGGTGGAAAAACCACTAGCCACTGGGCTTGAATTCTACCCCAAGATTCAGTCTTTGTAAAAATGAAGGGCTACCTTTTTGAGAGGTTCACATATGATACTAAGATCTGGACAGAACTGTGGTGTCTAAACATTTACTTCACAGTAGGGGCACAGTAGAGAGCCCATCCACCACAAAAGAAAAATTTAAAAATATCTTGGTAAAGCTGGCAGAATCAACTTTATCAGAACTATGGAAGACAGTCAGATGTTTACAAAGGGTAAACCAAATGGAAAAAAACAAACAACAACAATAAATAAATAAATAAATAAAATCTCAGAGAGCTTTGTGGCATTGCTTCTGCTCCTCCCACCACCCTCCCTGGCCTTGGCAATGGCCTTAAAGAGGGCAGCCCTGTTCCCAGTGAGGGACCCTGGTTCTTGGTTCCAGAGGAACAGAGACTGTGTTTCTCTACTGTAACCTATTGAGGACTACCTGAAACTCAGAAGTAAAGCCTGTGTATCTGCTTCATCTGAGTCAGAACTCACTTGGCCAGAAAAGCAATGACAATATCAAAAACCTCATAATGCCCCGCCTGGAAAAAAATTATTTTATAATGCCACTAAGCAACCCTGAGCCAGCCAGGGCAAAAGAATACAGTGAAGGCACAACAGCCTAGGAAGGAAAGTTAGGGAGAGGGTTCTTTGAAAAATTAGGACATTTGAGAGCTCCCACACGTTCTGGTAAATTCAAACAAATTACAAACAGGCCCAGGGCAAGACACAGGCTAAGAAAAGACTTTAAGTTTTTAACCTCTGCTGACCTCTAGCCTGCTTAAGAGTAAGTGCAGGCTATTACAAGGAATGCCCTGCATAGAGCCAATCTGGAGGGAGTTCCTCCCTCTCTCCCTTTATTTCTTTTCTTTTTCTTTTTCACTTCTTTTCATCCTCCCCTCTTTCTTTCTCTCTCCCCTCCTCTTTCTATTTTTTCCCTCACTCCCCTTATTTGTCTCTAACTCTCCTCTTCCTCCTCCAACTCCTCCTTCTCCTCCTTTCTCTCTCTTCTTCTTCTTCTCCTCACATCCAAGGAAATCTCTATCAAAACTAACCTACCAGGGTGGTGCAAGCCTATAATGTCAGCTCATCAGGGGACTAAGGCAGAGGATCCTAGTTTAGCAAGACCCTGTCACAAAACAAAAAAATTGTAAAGATCAAGGAAGTAGCTCTGTGGTAGATCACTTGGCATAGAGCTCTGGATTCAGTTCCCACCCAGTACCAAAAACTAGCTGAACTCAAGAATCAGAGACTTCAGAGATAATACATGACAAAGAACAAATTTTTAAAAAAATATTTAGAAAGGGCTTGAGTGTAGCTCAGCGGTAGACCACTCGCCTAGCATGTGTGAGGCCCTGGGTTCGATCCTCAGCACCTCATAAAAATAAAATAAAATAAAAAATATTTAGAAAGTAACTAAATACTGACAGTCTGTGGAACACAAAAAAATAAATAACAACAATGAAAAAGAAAATAAAAACAACAGTGGCAAAAAAAATTTAAACCCCAAAGAGAAAGGGATTAAGTGTAAGATCCAGGATTGCCAAATCAGAGTATACAAAATATCCAGTTCTCAAACATTCGCTTCATAGCTCAGTTCTGGAATTGTGGACTGATCAGAGAAAAGAGCATACATGGTTTCTCAAAAAGATCTCACCTGGATCCATGGGGAGCTTATAATTCTGAGGTTTTCATTGAATTTTTCCATCAAGTTAAGAAAATTCTGATCTTTATACTCAAAACGTTTCTGGAAAATAATGGAGCAGATCACATTGCAGGGAGCACAGCCCAGTATAAAAGTGGGATCACAGGGTGAGCCTAAAGAATTGGAAACATGAAAAATCATTAATATGCATGTATATACATTCGACACTTCATCTTTCATAACAGGTAAAGATAAGTTTAGAAGATCTAAGTATCTGCCTAGAAATTCCCTATCAGCAAAAACTTTAGCATACTTAAAATCAACACATCTCTTTCCTCTATATCTGAATGTATCTTTCTGTCCTAGCTTATTTCATAATACTTATCCAATATTCTGTAGGCATCACCACCTCTGTTTACATGCTTCTAACCCAAAGTGACAATTTTCTTTTTGGTACTGGGGATTGAACCCAGGGGTGCTAAGCCACATCCTTAGCCCTTTTTATTTTTTATTTTGAGACAGGATTTGCTAAGTTGCTTAGAGCCTTGCTAAATTGCTGAGGCTGGCCTCAAACTTGAGATCCTCCTGCCTCAGCATCCCAAGTCACTGGGATTACAGGCATACATCATAGCCCCTGGTGGCTAACAATTAATTTGGAAGGCAAAAGAAAATGCAAATAGATCACTTTTTTAAAGACCTAATAATTCAACTTATCAGCATAAATCACATCTCTCTAGAAAGCTTATAGACAGTTATATAGAAAGGAAGAAAATAGCAACCTGGAAACATTTTTTTAACTGATGTTATTTTCTATGATTTTATTTCCATTTTGTTTAACTATCTTCAACTCAACAATTAGAGAAATGTAAATTAAAACTACACTGAGAGGCTGGGTTTGTGACTCATGGTAGAGTGCTTACCTAGCACCTGTCAGGCACTGGATTCGAGCCTCAGTGCCACATAAAAATAAATAAATAAAATAAAGGTATTATTTTTTTTAAAAAAAAAAAGCTACACTGAGATTTCATCTTACTCCAACCAGAATGGCAATTATCAAGAATATAAATAACAATAAATGTTGACAAGGCTGTGGGGAAAAGGATACACTCATACATTATTGATGAGACTGCAAATTGGTGCAACTTCTCTGTAAAGCAGTACAGAGATTTCTCAAAAAACTAGGAATGGAACCACCATTTGACCCAGTTATCCCACTCCTTAAAACTAGCATACTACAGTGATGCAGCCACATCATTGTTTATAGCAGCCCAATTCACTATTGGTAAGTTATGGAGCCAACCCCAGTGCCCTTCAACAGATGAATGGATAAAGAAATTGTGGAATAAAAACATAATGGAGTATTACTTGACCAGTGAGAAGAATGACCTAGTGACATTTGCCTGTAAATGGATGGGTCTGGAGACTATCATACTAAGTGAAATAAACCAATCCTAAAAAACCAAAGGTTAAATGTTCTCTGATGTGTAGAAGCTAACCCACAATAGTGGCTGGGGATAGAAGTTCAGTAGATTAGATAAAGCAGAATGAAGGGAAGGACAGGGATAAGAAAAGGAAAGACAGTGGACTGAATCTGGCATAACTTTCCTATATACATATATGAATGCACCAGAGTGAATCTCACCATCGTGTACATCCACAGACTGGGGTCCTAATCAGAATAAGACATATTCCATGCTTGTATAATCATATCAAAATGGGCTCTACTATTTTGTAGAACTAAAAAATAATAATAATAATTTTTTTTAAAAAGATGAACAGCTCAAGATCACTCAGTGGTCTGAGCAGAGGAAGCTCAGACCTTCAGTGACTGCTCCAAACTTCAATAGGGAACTACTGAAGAGGCACAGAGGGCACCTGCAGCTTTTGGATCAGCCTGCACCTCAGATTGAGTAGCAGTGAACTCAAGAGCCAGTGCAGTTCATTCACCCTGAAATTCCTCCTTAGTCACAGTATTTTCAGCAGTGCCTACTCTTTCTTTTCCATCTCCTTGGAATCTCTGTGGAAGTAGAGATCGGGTATAACCGCCCCTGGGTATTCACAGGAGATGGTGCTGTACATACACAGACCCTCCCAGGCCAGCATTCACCACATCAGACCCACAGAGTAAGCTCCCCTGTTGTTGTATAGAGTGGTGATGTCCACGCAGAGCAGAGGAGAATCTGTGTTGCACAGAACAATGGCAGGCAGATTGACATAAGATGCCTCAGACAGACTGGTGGTCAGCCCCAGGATCAGTAACCACCAGAAGACACACTTCCTAGAATGCAGCCTAGAACTGATTAGTGACATTCCAGGAGTAAAGCAAGCAGCAATAGGAGTGGCTCCGGGGGTAGTGGCAATTTTCAGCACAGCCCACTGGACTGTATTCCTGTAGGAAGTGACACTGATGTCAGCAGGATTTTCAGTGGTAATGGCACAAGCTGCCAGCAGAAGCTCTTCCCAGGTCTTCTTCAGATTTATGATGGAGATGTCATCACTTTTCCTTTTGTAGGTATATTGTTCCATCTAGAAAGAAAGGTTGGTGCCACTGAAGTGGGTTCCTACAGTAAGGAGTTTGAAGACATCTCCTTCATTTGCAGGACATCAAGGGCTCCGGACATTCTGACAGTTTCCCTTTAAGTTATAACAGGAATCAAAAATACCACCACCAAATGGACTCCTCCTTGAGCAGCACGGATATAATGAATAATTGAAGGAACTGTATGTAGAAGCAGGAGAGGGTAAGACTAAAGAGAGAACAACAATAATAAATGCAGGAATTAGATGGTACAAATGTAAAAAGGCAAAAGCATCCATGTTATATGAAAAGAAAAACTAATGAAAATGAGCACAGATTATAAGATGGATTTTGCTCACCTAAAATAAAAGTGAAATAAGAAAAGTTCATTTTAAATTAAATCACAGGGTAAACACAAAAGGTTAAATTGATAGAGTCATTTTATTTCTTTATTTCAATATTGAAAGGGAGAAAAAAAAAAATGTCCTGTCCTAGGAAATAGTGTCAACCCTCACCACAGCCCAGATTTAATTTACTTGGGCAAAGCCTGCCCTCTTGTGGAATTCATGAGTTATCACTGTATGTTACACATTTTTTAAATTTCACAATCATTTAGGTCAATTCCATCATTTTCTAGAAAAAGAAAAAGCAGATAAAACCTTTCCTTTCTTTTGGACATTTAAATGAGATTGTTGTAATTAAATCAAACTTTAAATTTGAAAAGCCCACAAGTTTAGATTATAGATGTAATCAAGAGTGAATTCAAAGTGTTGTACAGACTGTTCACATCTGTCAAAAGATGAACTCAACAGAGATGTCCACAGAGATGAATGGATAAAGCAATTGTGACATATATGCATGAGAGAATTTTATTCATACACAAAAAAATTAAATTCTGTCATTTGCAGATAAAATTGGAAAACATTATGTTAAGTGACATAAGCCAGGCACCAAAAGACAAACACTGCACGTTCTCACTCATGCATGGAAGCTAAAAAAGGTGATCTCATAGAATACGAAAGTAGATTTATGGTTACTAGAGGATAATAAGGGTAGGGAGGAAGGAGAACAGAGAAAGGTTGGATAATGGATACCAAAATATAGTTGAATAGGAGAAATAAATTCCAGTGTTCTACAGCACAGTAGGATAACTGTAGTTTGTATCAATTTATATATATATTTTACAAAGCACTAGAAGAAAGGAATTCAAACTGCCCCAACAAAAAACTGATAAATGTTTATAGGGATAGAAAAGCTAATTACCTTAATTTGATCATTAAAAACTACATACATAGGGCTGGGAATGTGGCTCAAGCAGTAACGCACTCACCTGGCATGCGCGGGGTGCTGGGTGCGATCCTCAGCACCACATAAAAATAAATAAATAAAGAAGTTGTGTCCACTGAAAACTGAAATAAATATTTAAAAATTCTCTCTCTCTCTCTCTCTCTCTAAAAAAAAATAAACTACATACATGTGTCAAGTTACCACATGGCACCCCAAAATATGTACAAAATATGTACAATTATTATGTGTCAATTTTTTAAAATGTGAAGAATAATGGGAATTCAACAATAGAAGCATCCTTAGTAGATAACCGTTCTTATGCTAGGTTCCTTGTCAGCTGAGACAAAAGGGCACTAAAATTTTGTTCTAGCCTGCAAGACGGGGGATAATTTACAATTGTCAATTTGAGATTTCTGGTGGTGGGGGGAGAGTGTGACTCACAGTGAAAATCTGATTTTCAATCTTACTTTTCACCTCCTTGAGAAGAGATAATTAAATATCAGAGTAATTTAAAATTCAAGCTGAAAATCAGATTTATTGTGACAAGCATTTCATAGATAAGTAGAATGGACAATGGAAAGCAAATAATTACCATAAAAAATCCAATTGTTATAAAATTCACCCAGGATTTTGTTTTTTTTTTTTTTCAGATATGGTGAGGTCAACAGATAAGGCTGCCCTTGAAAAGATGGCGTGGTACTGTTACCAAGGGAAGGGGGCTGCCACACCACAATGGAGCAGGCAGCGCAAGAAGAAGCATCACAGCTGGACAGGAGGCAGAAGGGGAAAGGGAAAGCAGGTGACCTTTATTTATTGGGGTTTGCATGGGAAGGAATGAGTGAGGCAGAATAGGTGTGCTGAGTATTCTTAGATTGATAGTTTGAATACTCTCAATGTGCTCTGGGCAATGGGGATAGTCACTAACTGTCCCATAACTGTCCCTGGGGTGATTTATGGCTCTTAAGAATATTGGCTTGGTGTAAAATAATTTGATACAGTAGGTAGTTGGAAGTATGGGTTATGGATAGGTTGTTTTGTACACCAAAAGCTTGTGATAGGAAAGCTATTTGCTATCTCTGGGAATTAACTACCCCTGGCAGAGATATTCCAAGATGTCAAATCGTCATAAAACACAGAAAACAAAAAAAGGGATTACTACAAAAATAAAAATAGAAAATAACACAATGAAAGTAAAAACAGAATCCTCCTACAATTAGGAAATTGGGATAAAGAGTTAATAATGAGAGTTGAAATTCAGTTCAACAAATCCATTTTATAACACAGTATTTTTGTAATTTGAAGGATTATACTAGAGTATAAATTTTCTTGAAATATATAAAATAATGCAGTAAGTTGTGAGAAAGAGTAAATAACTCAAACTGATAGTTTTTAAGTAGTTATTGTTCACAAGGAAATCACAATAAACAAAGCAGCATTAAAGATGCCAAGGGAGTCAAAACCACAGATCTGCACAATTACTGGTGAAGACTGTAGGCACAGGCCTCGAAAAGAACCTTCCAGACATGTCAGTCCGTGAGGCTGATTGTACGCATGCAGACCAATTAACTCAAAGTACATGTGCGTTATTTCATGCTCCACAAAAGTAGCAGATCACTACAATCAGGGCTACTTGACAAGTGTTTACCAGTGAAATGTTTTAAAATACTTAACCCACAATTACACTATAGGAAAAACATTATTCTTTCACAATTTGAAAAAGAAGACTCAAACTTTCTTGGTGACATGATTCAAAACGAAGTTTGACACAAAACAGCATTAAATGACCACACTTTAGGGGCTGGAAATGTATCTCAGTTGGTAGAGTGCTTGCTTTGCAGGACCAGGCTCTGGGTTCAATACCCAGCACCACCCAAAAATAAATAAATAAATAAATAAATAAATAAACAAAATGACCACACTTTATGCACCGTGTGTACAATCACAACAAGCACAGATACACAGAAGCTCCCTTGGCTCTCTGCATCACACCATCCCTCCTGCACATGAAGACTAACAACCACTACTCTTAATGAAAGATTTGCCTGCCCCTAAAGTATTTCCAGGGATGTTGTTAGAGAAGAGAGCAATCTGATATGGTCAATGATAACAGAACAAAGAATCACCACCCACCATTGGTTTTCCTCAACTCCTCCACAAGGCAGCGGGCTTCCTCCTGAACGCGGTCCTCAATGCTCCTCTTTCCCATCCCAAAATTCCGCAGGGTCATGAGGGAAAAGCGACGAAGCTCCTTCCATCTCTTTCCATTGCTGAAGAGGATTCCTACCAGAATGGGAAGCAAAAACTGGAAGGGAAATCCCAGGCAAGGAAGAGAAAACTGACATGTAGCAGCTACATGGGTGGCCAAAATCTGCCTGGGGATCAATTCAAGACTCATACCAGGACCACTGCCCAACACATGCATGCACACTCATGCACAGGCACACTTACCAAAGTCTTTATTAACTTTTTCAGACAGTGGGAAACTGCCTCTTCCAGCAAACTCCTCTCCTAGATCAACCAGGGCTTCCTTCACTGCATCATATCCATGCAACACCACAGAAGGCTTCAAGCCCAAATACAGAGTGAACACAGGGCCATACACTTTTGAGAACTGGAAGATGGAAAGTAAATGCAAAGAGCAACAAAAGAAATCAGTATTTGGTCTACATATTGTTCATGATTCAGACCAATATTATCGTACTGTTGACATTTTTGTCAAACACAACTTCAAATATTTCTGGATTTCATATATAAATAAGATGGTGATTGTTATAGCTTCTACATAAACAATGACTCCCATTTGCCAGGGAACTGCCAGGGAAATTACGAGGCAGACTGTCAAAAATAAATCAACATTTTGAGGTAGCTTTATTTATTCTGACATATAGAGAAAGAGACTGAGGTTCAAAAATTCAAATCCATTTCAGTTTCCCATAGCTAATAAATAGACAACCCAAACTTGAACCCTTGCTTAGTTGATCTCTTCTACCTA